CTCCATGTTTTAATTTGGCTGCGTGGCTTTTGGGTGGCAGAGGAGGAGCCGTACGTGGCGGCAGTGCGGGCTGTGCCACAGAGTGGTACCTGTGCGGGCAGCACGGTGCAACGCAGAAACTTGTCACCCGGGCATTGTTTCAAGATGTTGCCTCTAAATAGCAGCAAACTGTCTTTGAATGGGCATTTTTTGGTGTTTTACTGAAGGTGAGAGCAGTAGGACAGTCTGGCTGCAAGAAAACCATCTTCTCTGACTATTTTTCTGAGGAGGAAATTTGCTTCTTGCGGATGCTGTTATTGCTCTAAAACCGTGGTTTTCCTGTAATGTCACAGCAATGAGCTTCCTATGAGGTTTTGCTTTAGATCCTTTTCAAAACCAGACTGCAACCACATCAGAAACTGGATGTATTTAAGCATTGCTCCTCTGTCTCTGGGTCCTTGCTGACTGTCTGGTGTTAATCTTGGCAAATGATTCATTGAAATAGTTCTGACTGTTCAAATGAATTGTGCTGCTGTGTAGTGACCCTCCAGGATAATACATCTGCTTCTGTATGACATAATGCATGTTTATCTTAAAAAAAAGGAAAAAAAAAAAGGAAAAAACAAATGAATTGGTGTCAGGCAATCACTTAGATGTGGCAGAGTCAGTAGAGATGCAGAAATGAAGGCCTGGAGCAGCTGCCCAATTCAGCAAGGACCGAACCCCGCCACAAATGTGATCATGTCTTACAGGGTTGGCTATGAGAGACACCACATATGTGGCAATTGAAGAGTTGATGTCTGTGGACCGGGCTGTATCCTGGCATGCTGGGGCCAAGGGGGCTTACCTGCTGCTGGGAGGGGGAGAGGAGAGGGCACAGCACAGCCAGCAGCTGCCTGCAGGCACCTACGGAGGTGATGGGGTCAGCTCTTCTTGACAGCAGCAGCAACAAAACATGGGGCAGCAGCTGTGGTTTGTGGCTTGGGATGTTTGGGCTGGATGTGAGTAGAAAGCCCTTCCTTGGGGACATGTCCTTGGAGGGGTGATGGTCTCCATCCTAGGTTGCTCTCAACCGACTGCTTACCCTTGGCCCCTGGGCACTGCTGCTCTGGCACCAGCATTCGGTTTTAGGGATGGAAATTGCGTTTTTCGTGAGCATCGTAGAAGAATGGGGAGATTTGGGGCAGGAGCAGGTGCCTGAGCATCAGAAGGGTGCCTTGCACCCAGCAGAGCTGGGCGTTAGCAAACCTTCACCTCCAGAGAGGGGAGCTGGGATTTGGGAGGCTCCAGTGAGAGCAAGGGAGGACAGAAAAAAAGGCTCATGCCTTGCTCCAAATGGCTCGTGAGGCTTCACTGAGCTTTCAAGTGTTGTGTTACTGCCCATGATCTGGATTGTGGCCACAGGCCAAGCACTGATCTTTCATCAGCTGTTACCTGTTTTACACATAAACTGGCTTCTTGTGCCAGTTACAGCTGATGTTTGGCTAAAACCTACTGTGAATGAACATAAAACATTGTTACATCATTTTTAATGTCATAAAACATCATTACATGATTTTATGATGATAAAACATCAACGTGGGTACAGCAAAGTGCAATGGTTTATGCCTGGGTTGGAGCTACTTGATTTTGACTTTGATATAACAGGGATTGGCAACTGAGCAGTTTGGCAGATACCAGCATTTACCAGTCCTGATTTTAGTACAACGTTGCTTCGCCATGACCACAGCCCCCAAAGACAAGTGGTTAGGTGAGAATTTCTGCTCTTATTACACAAAAAACCCTCAAGTCTTTATTCTCCATTTTACATCTTGGAAAATTTGAAACTGTGATCCAAGGGTGCCTACAGACTCAAAACGCAGAAGGCGAGTGAACAGTTATAACAGTTTATTTCTTTTCAGTTCTCTTTGGTTAGTGGTGAGGCTGAGCTGGTACTTGCGGGCTGTTCAAGTCGCCTGTAATGTTTGAAACCATTCGACTTCCTTGGGTGTGTGGTTTTTCTTTGTTTCACCCCAGCCCACTTTTTATTCATAAAACAAGCCCAGGCTCAAAACTCCCTTGTTTCATACAGGATTCCCGATTCCAAGGCAGGATGATGTGTGGAGGAGCAGTGCAGGGTGTCCTTAATGTTATTCTGTACCGGAATAAGGTGATAATGTTGGAAATTAGGGTTCCTGAGATTTTTGTTGGTATCAGCATCAGCACAAATTCCAGAGCAGTCTACCACGTTCATTTTCACAAATATATTCGGCTTAGATCTACTCAAGTGAGCAATCTTCCCTTCCTGCTCTCCAAATATAGATAACTGCCGTACACATTCATGCATAATATGAATGGTGAACGGGTGAATTCATTAACATTTTGCAGAAACGCCTATTTCCTCTCCTCTGGGCACAGAAGAAAATAGTATCTGCATCTTCATGCCTGTAGAGAGGACGGGCTGGATCCTGCCCCCCACTACCCTCCTGCTACCCTGCTCCATGTAGGGGTGTGGGGTTAGTGATGACCAGTACATAAGGAGGGCAAAGCAGCCTCCCCATGTGATATATGCCAGTGAGCATGCAATTAGCTGAGTACAAATCAGGTGGTGAGGATTTGATGGGTGGACTGTTGAGTGGATGAGGAATTGGTTGGATGATGGCATCCAGAGGGTAGTGGTCAATGACTTAATGTCCAGATGGAGATTGGTGATGAGTGGTGTCCCTCATAGGCAGTGGGATCGAGTGCAGCCTCAGCAAGGTTGCAGATGACACCAAGCTGAGTGGTGTGGTTGACACGCCTGAGGGACAAGATGCCATCCAGAGGGACCTGGACAAGCTCGATGAATGGGCCCTCATGAGGTTCAACAAGGCCAAGTGCAGGGTCCTGCACCTGAATCGGGGCAACCCCAAGTATGAGTACAGGCTGGGGGATGAAGGGATTGAGAGCAGCCCTGATGAGAAGTACTTGGGGATCCTGGTGGATGAAAAGTGGGACATGAGCTGACAATATGTGCTCACAGCCCAGGCAGCCAGCCGTTTCCTGGGCTGCATCCAAAGCAGCGTGGCCAGCAGGTCGAGGGAGGGGATTCTGCCTCTCGTGAGACCCCACCTGCAGTGCGGCATGCAGCTCTGGGGCCCCAAGAAAGACATGGACCTGTTGGAACAGCTCCAGAGGAGGCCACAAAAATGGTCAGAGGGGTGGAACAGCTCTGCTGTGAGGACAGGCTGAGAGAGTTGGAATTGTTCAGCCTGGAGAAGAGAAGGCTCCAGGGAGACCTTATTGCAGCCTTCCAGTACTTAAAGGGGGTTTATAAGAAAGATGGGGACAGACTTTTTGTCAGGGCCTGTAGTGATAGGATAAGGGTAATGTTTTTACATTAAAAGAGGACAAGTTTAGACTAGGTATAATTAAGAAGTTTTTCCCACTGAGGGTGGTGAAACACTGGCAGAGGTTGCTCAGGCAGGTGGTAGATGCCCCATCCCTGGAAGCATTCCAGGTGAAGTTGGACGGGGCTCTGAGCACCCTATCTAGTTGAAGATGTCCCTGCTCATTGCAGGAGGGTTAGACTAGATGACCTTTAAAGGTCCTTTCCAACCCAGAGATTCTATGATTGTATGAGTCTGTCCCTGGCTGATGGTTTTTCCTGCAGAGCAGGGTGCTCGTGGTCCCTGTGCTCTGGGCTTCCTGCTGCACTGAGTTGGATGGATCCTCTGATGGGTTGGATGGACACCTCACTGGTGCCACTGCGAGCCCTCTACGTCCTGCTCAAGCAAGTCCCTTGGCAGTGGCCCGTGCTGGAGGTCAATGGCCATTCCTGTAGTCTAAAACCTATGGCAACTAGTGATGTAAATGGAGAGTGATTCTGCTGTGTCCCCGCTGCACCAGGGTACTTGGGGCCAGGAAATGCTCACCTCCAAGGTTTGGACCTCAAAGAGCCTTCTCTTTACAAAAATAAAATAGTGCTCCGAAAAATAAGTGGGAAATGGAAAATCATAGAACAGCCCAGGTTGGAAGGGACCTCAGAAGATCATCTGGTCCAACCTTTTGTGGGAACGGGAGCCTAGATGAGATTATCTAGTGCCCTGTCCAATCACATCTGGAAAATCTCCAGTGATGAGGGCTCTACCATGTCACTGAGGAGGTTGTTCCAGTGAATGATTGTTCTCACTGTCAAGAATTTCTTATGTCAAGATAAACCCTTTCTTAGTGTACGTTGTACCTGTTGCCCCTTATCTTCTCCATGTAGCTTCTTGTGAAGAGAGAGCCTATGTCCTCTTTGTAGCTGTACTGGAAAACTGTGATGAGGTCCCTCCCTGAGCCTTCTCTTCTCCAATGAGAAAAGACTTAACTCCTTCAGCTTTTCCTCACAGGGCAAGTTCTACAGCCCTTTGGTCATCTTCCTGGCCCTCATTTGGACCCTCTCCAGTCTGTCTGTGTCTTTCTTGAAATGTGGGGTCAAGCCGATGTCATTCCTGTCTTAACACTGCTGTGATGCATTTTGTATGAGCTTGTTAAAACAAACTCCACTGGAGAGCAGATTTAGGATGGGCCTTGTAGCTTGCCAGGAGAGCTTGTTCCTGCTCACTGATTGTGAAAGGAGCTGGGGGACTAGTCCAGCCGTCAATGTCTGTGGGATGCTGAAGTTCGGGCGTGCGGCTCCTGTGCAGTCAGTCTGCTGGATACGTTCCCATGGCCCTTCAGCTACATCCTCTCCTTACTATATTAAGAACATCTGGACAAAGTGATTTATAAACTCTCTCCCTTGATAGCGTTGACTGTATTTTATGTCTCAGTAATTTTCTCTGGTACTGAATGGATTTTGTGCTAAAGCCTTTCCCAGACGCTAGCCCTATTGAAGTGTGGCTGGGTCCTCACCTATCCTTCCTTCTTTTTATCCTCTCCCTCTTTCAGTTTTACTCTGTCCCTGTTGGCTTCATTTCCCAGGGCCGTGCCTTGGTTTGTGAGTTTGTCACTGTTAGTTCTTAGAAGCCAGGCTGTGCCAGCCTCACTTTGTATTTGGTCTGGGCACCTCAAAGGCCATGTTGGGTCAGTGCATGGAACAGCACTGATGACTTGTTGGCTGCCTCTTGTTCCTCAAAGCTGATGTGTTATTTGGATGGTGAAGACAGCAGAGGTAGTGGCCTCAGTGGCCTCAGCAGGCTTCTTAGATGCCTAACCATGCTCAAGAAAACTTTTTGGACTTCTGTCATGGCTTTATATTTTGTTATTCAAGTGGTTTATTTACTGACATCCCATTTTTCTTTCTTGCAGGCTCCACATCTGTTTGCTACAAGCCTACTAGCCCAGGCCAGGTACTGGAAGACACTGTCTTTCTTTACCAGGATCACCAGTTGTTTGCTGGCAGGCATGAAGTTTCTCCGCTAACAGCTGAAGCAATCAATACTAAAGAAAAAGCTGGTAAGTATGTGGCCACACTTCCATACGAACCCACCACATTTACTTGCAGGTTTTTCCTGAAGCATAAATTGAGCAGTTTAGACCATTTACAAATAGTATTTACAGAGTTGAAGGCCAGCTTCTCGTCCTTGGTAGAGTCAAAGGGGAGTTACCTTTGACTTGAGTGTTACGACCCACCATGATTTTTCACCTGTGCTTGTGGAGGATGCAGCCTTTCTGCTTGTCCTTCGGGCCATGGCTGCTCTTCACTGCTCAGCTGGACTGAGGTCCATGGCTTTTTGTTGATGGAGCAGGACTGCAGGCACCCTGTGGGAGGCTCACTGTAGTTGATCCTTTTGGACCTCAATAATAGGCAACTAAAATACATCTGCCACATATAAGGATGCTAAGAGATGGCTATCACAGAGGCAAAAATCCTGATATATGATAAAGAGCTGCCTTGACTGTGACATTTCCTTTATCCACTTGCTTCAGGCTTTTATCTCCGGCATAGTCTTACAACACAGGCTGTGAGCTTTCTGGTACGTTAGGGAGACTTTTACTGATGTCTACAAAAATGTCCAGTATGGTGAGGCTTCTGTGCACTGCGATAACATGAATAAAACAGTAAGAGTTTACTGTTACTGCAGGGACATATAAAGTAGATGGATACTTGGCTGTTGTGCAGACAGGTGGCTGGACGTGTCTGTGCATCTTGCTGGCTCAAACACCAGCCTGGGAAGCTGACAGACCCTCTGAAAGCTGTTGGCCAGGCTGCAACCGCAGTGAGTCAGGCTGGCCGGCAGATAACAGTGTCTCAGGGGAAGCAGGTAAACTATATTTTGTAGGGCAGGTGTGGATTGAAACAACCTGGGAATCTCTTCTGCCCCTCGAGCCCCACAATCATTTTTAAGGCTTTGCCACAAAAATGCTAGTGGAAACTCTCGTAGTGAAGAGTCAAAGGCTTTTCTTCCTCTGGGTTGTATGTAAGTTATCCCACAGCATGTGCAGTAACTGATGAAACCTCAGGGAAATACCAAACCTCAAGAGAAAGTTTGCTTTTTAACTACTTTCAAATGCCAAAAAATGAATGTAAGTCCTTCTGATGAACTCCTCTGAGAATTGGAAACAGCAGGAGAGAGAGAGAAAGTTGCCAAGAATGACCTCAAAAAAGTGAACTGAAAACAGCATCTCCTTCTTGCCTAGGGGCGTGGGAGGGCTCTGGCCAGAGCTGCCAGCTTTTTCTCACTTTTATCCGCACTGAGGTCTTTCAGGAGCAACCCTCTGGGCTCAGACACTGCTCAGGCAGGCATCTTGCACCACCATTAGATGCAGAGCTCCGGGCAAGCTCTGCTGTGTATATAGTGCAGAAGTGGTGCCATTGCCTCTGAATGACCTCAGTAGCCTGTGTTAGGGTTATGTAGCTGATACGTCTGTGCTGTTTTTAAAACACTGGCATTACATCTATGACCGTAACAACTTCCTTGTACTCGCCCAGCAAAATTACAAAAGTTAGTATTGATTCCCTTAGAAATAGCATTATTGGCCAGAAGGGAAATTGCAGTTTTACGGGAAGACAGCAGAGCACGGATTCCTCTTTAATGACACTTTTAGGACCGTTTTATTTTCAGTGTCATTTCAGAGTTTTTCCGCGATACATTCTGTGTTTTCTTTATGGTGGCAGGCAGTGCACTTAGGAGGGGATTTGACTCATCTAACTTTGGCTGTCAAAAATGAAGCGTCTCGTTTAGTAGTGCCATGCAGGCTGCCTCTATATAAGCCGTGCAAGGCATCTCCCGGGGAGATTTACCCCATTCGTATCTTAGAAAAGACCAAGTTTCGCTGTGACACTACATGTCCACTTATTGACTTGGGAGGGGGTTCAAAGCCATGGATATAGGATGCACAGAGTATTATGGAGGGGAGGGCCAGGAAGGGGACGGGAATATGTTTTTAGAGGTGACTGCAGACACAATTCCAGGTGGGGGGATGAGCAGGGGCGAAGTGCCCTGCCTCCTTTGGTGGCTTCCAGCCATGTCCCCTCAGCTCCTAGGGGACCCTGGCAGGGCACTGCCCCATCCTGGACATGGCGTCACAGCCGTGGGGTGTAGGAGAGGAGAACAAGGGGGATTGGACCTCCTGGGCAGCAGAGCTAATGGCCGCCTCTCTCTCTCCCTGCCCAGCCGAGGAGGCCCTCTGCCCCCTGCGCCCACCCAGCTTCCGCCGGGGCCAGAGGAGGTGGCAGCCGGTACCGTCCTGCAGCGCCTGATCCAGGAGCGGCTGAGGTATGGCAACCCCAGCGAGAACATGAACCTGCTGGCCATACAGCACCAGGCGACGGGCAGCGCCGGCCCCTCCAACAGCACTGCCAGCACTCTCTCTTCCGCAGAAAACCTCGTGCCCGAAGAGCCGCCAATGGTCCAGCCATCGGGGCGGCAGGAACCGCAGGGGCAGGAGCACCAGGGGGACGGTGCTGCGATGGAGAAGCAGCCCCGGGCCCCACAGCCCCCGCACGGCACCGAGGAGCTCCCCACATACGAGGAGGCCAAGGCCCAGTCTCAGTTTTTCCGAGGCCAGACGCCGGCCGCTGCCACCACGCCGGGTTTTTATGGCGCGTCCAGCCAGAAGTCCAGGACGGAGGGGAGGCCGACGGTGAACCGGGCCAACAGCGGGCAGGCGCATAAGGACGAGGCGCTGAAGGAGCTGAAGCAGGGCCATGTCCGCTCGCTGAGCGAGAGGATCATGCAGCTCTCGCTGGAGAGGAATGGGGCCAAGCAGCATCCCCCGGCCCCGGGGGGCGGGAAGGGCTTCAAGGCGGCCCCGCTGCCCAGCAAGGCCACAGACCCACGGGGGCCGCCTCCCGAATACCCCTACAAAGGCAAGGCGGCAGCCCCCGTCAGCAAGGCACAGGAGCACGGGCTCTTCTACGGCGAGCAGCCGGCGCAGGATGTCCTCAAGGTCTCCTACGCTGCCCCGCAGCCCGCCCGGGCAGAGGTGGCCCTCGTCCGCTACCAGCCGCCTCCAGAGTATGGGGTCAGCAGGTAATGGCCGTCAAGGGGGGTGGGTTTGCTGGAGGGGCCTGATCCTGCCCTCGCTGGAGGAGCCATCTTCTGCGGGCTTGGGCCTCATGTAAATGCAGCCCCTGTGAGCTTCAGCCTCAGGCAGGCAGTGGGGCCATCACAGCCCCGCGTCCGGGCCTGCATGGAACGGCTGGCGGAGGCACCTGCATCTCCAGGAGGGCTGTGTAAAGCATATACGCTGCTTATGCCCCACTTAAATGTTCCCAGCGGAGCTCACGTGGGGCTTTCACAGTACCAGGCCCCTCGTGCCCGGCCTCCTTGTGAGCACGGGTTTATTCCAAGCGCATTAAAAATAATCCAGAGCATTTACTTGCTGTGCGCTGGCCCCTGTGAGCAGCAGGGGTCCTGCCCAGCACCCAGGCAGGATTGCCGCCTTCAGAGGTGAGCCTGTGCGTTGAGGGCTCCCTTTTCCTTCCCATACCTAAACGCAAGTGTTTCTCTGTCTCATCCCTGTCTCTTTGACCTCCCAGACAGTATTTTGCTGGATTTCGAAGGCTGTAGCTGTCTGGTTTGATTGTGGATTGTTTTCATGTTGCAAGCTGCCTCATTAGGTCTTTTCTGACCCCAAAACTCCTAAAGGTTTTTGTCAGCATCGACTTAAGTTGCATGCACTTACTTTGCCACAGTGCAGGCACAGAGAAAAGATAGCACAGCTGACCCCACACATCCCTTCCAAAATTCGTAAGGCATGAAATGAGAGAGCGAACACTCTGCCGTTCAGTATTTGCAAAAGTGATGGGTTTTGTGTCAAGATGGGGAGTAACTTGGCACTTGGAAATTTGGTGAATGTTGCAAGGCAACTGGGACAAGTGGAGGGCCCGCACTGAGTGCCTGCTAGCTTTCCTTCAGCTACACGTGTGTTTTGATTGCCAGCCTACCACTGTGCAAAGTTTATGCAATTTTTTCAGAGCAAGATGATATTTTTAAGGGCTCAGCAAAAATCTCTGTTTATGCTAAGAAACAGCTATATGAACTCGAGGGCAACAGGGTCGAGCTGGGGCTGTGCTCTCCTGCAGCCATTCGCAGTACTAACAAACATTTCCAGCACCAAGTAGATTTATCCCCACAGAAAAGGAGCTGGTTTGGGTTTTTCTATCACTCTTGGAAAATGCTGCTTCAATACACATGGAGTCTGTTCTGCTGAGTCTCTGTAAGTGAGCAGACCTGGGTGCTGCATGCAGTGCTGCAGCTAACTGGGAATGGCGCTGGTGTCGAGTGGGAAACGCTTTGAGGCCACTTCTAAAACCTTTCCTAGATGCCTGATCAGCAAGGTTAATGCTGAGAAACCCCTTGATTTCAGTGCAGTTTTCCATGCTGGCAGAACAGGCCAGCCCCCAGCCTTACCCCAAGGTGCTGCTGGATCACCTGAGCAGCAGAGGGGAGAAACTCCCTGGCTCACGACAGCGGTTACTGCTCATTCCCGGTAAGGCAGCACGGTTTAACCCGCAAATCACACCGCAGAGGGGATGCCTGCTACCCCTGTGTGCTGTTTTCTTTGCATGACAGTGGGGAGGTGTCCCTCCTGGCAGGTGCAGGGGCACTGGAGGATGCATTGTGCAGCAGAGGACTGGCAGCATGGCGGAGCAGAGCCGCTGCAGTTCGCACTTCTTAAAAAAATCTTAGGTGATGTCTTTCTTGCAGCTCAGCAAGGATCTTAATACTGCTCGGTCAGCATATATCCCTGCTTGGCTACTCCACCATGCGTTTCCAGGGGTAGGTTAGGAGGCTGGCATAGCTGGGGGGTGTTTCACCAAACCTAGGTTTGGTCTAAGGCATATGGTCTCTCTTGTGCTTTCTCTAAGGTGGCTTCGGGTCCTGGTGTGAAGACAGGCATTTTGAGGTCCTTCTTAGATCCTTTCATGGTGCCTGGATTTTGGGGGACGTTTCATCCCTCTGTGTTCCTGCTGGCTATAGCAGGACAGTTGCCCGTTTGCAGATGGTACCTTGTGCCATTGCTTTGCACAGTGCCAGCAGCTGGGGGGACGTTTGGCTGCACAGGAGATGTCAGACAGCGAGCCTTCTGGTCTCGGCGAAGCAGTGGCCTTCATCCTCATCTCAGGCTTGTTTCTAGGATATTTTTTGATACAGGGATGTGAAACTTTCACTTTACTTGGGAGCACTGAAATATTCACTGCTGGCGTTACCCAGACTTGTCCTTAATTGGTATGAACTGGTCTGGTTTCTTCTCCTGTGCTGTACCTGTGCCAGTTTATAACTGGCCTCACAGGCTGCAGGATCTCCTTAAAGCCCTGTTACCTGGGAAGATTTGGGTGACAAAAGCCTTTAGGAAGTGGCAGTAATCCAAGTGTGCTCATCACTTGCCATTTCTCTATCTGCGGCAGCTGTGCTTCGGTGCATCCCTGCGCACGTCTCGGGCTGCGTTGTGGGATGGGCTTGCCCAGGTCTGGAATGAGCATGGTTAAAATGTAGTTTCACAAAATGGCCTCTGCCCCAAATACTCTTCTCTATGGAGAGGGTAAAGGCAGGTTACCTGTCTGGGGATGTCAGCCCCATCTCTGCTAGAGGACTGGGATGGAGGACCTTGATAAGAGAGGTCGAGGTAGGTGGCTACCTGGTTTCATAAGGTTAATGGAAGAGTAGGGTTTGGAGAGGCTGTTTTTTCTGTTAGAGGAGCAAGCGAGGTGAGAAATGCCAGCTTTCATCTCATCTGGAGGGCCTGGGAAAGAAGCTAATGGAAACTTTACTTTGCCCATGGTCAATGGGAGTCTTATATATTCCAGCATCTCCTTCCCTCCGTCCTGGCCATATCTGTTCCCCAGCCCATCCATCCTGTCAGCCTCTGCACAGGGGCTGTGCAAAAGGCTTCTGCCTTCCAGGAAAGAGGGGAGAGAAGAACAGAGCTGCATCGGTCCAGAGGAAGCACCCACAGATACCAGGGACAGAAAAGACCCTTAGGGTCATCAATCCCCCACTCCCCCCTAGTCCTTCTGTGATGGGGGGAGATGCGGCTGGAAACCCAGAAATGCTGGCAGGGAGCTGTTGAAGGAGATGGGATAACTGCAGCTGCTGTTTAACTTGCTGGCTTTGGTTTGCCCCCCGTTTTTTTTTTTTTCCCCTCCACCTGGCTGGTTTTAAAGGGAATATTGCCTTTATAATCACCGTAGTGAAATCTCACAACTTTATGGTAAATCTCAAGATATTTGGTATTATCCTGAAGACCTCCTAGAGTCACGTGATGCTGCAGTAATCTCAGCATTTATATAAATTAGACTTAGCGACCTCTGCTTTATGAACGTCACAGATGCAGAGCTTGAACACTGAAGCTTAAAAGGCCAAATAAACAGAAGGCAAGTAAAAAGTAACTGATATTTGTTACTGTTTTAAAATATCAGTATTTTTAAGCCAGTTGCGTGATGCTTGGGGCCCTGACTCACAACTTCTGTGTGCTTTAAGTTGGCCAAGTGTAATAATCTTTAGAAAACCTTTCCTTTCCTAGATGTGCAGCTGTTCCTGAATCGTGTCTTTGCTAAATTTGTTTAGGTGCATGTTCAGAGAGTCACAGCTTGTCAGGTAAAAGGTCTTGGAAATAATCTAATTTGGTCTTTTGCACAACACCGTGAATTAATTCCAGTTTGCAAAACATTCAGTCCTGGTGATTATAACACTCTTCCGTCTGGAGAATCCATCACAGCCTTTACAGATTTGTTCCACTAACTAATTGCCATCTCTGGCACAGATCTGCATCTTTGTTTTAGCCTGTATTTTCTAGTTACCAGCTGGGATTGTACAATATCTTTGTCAGATATGGTGAGGAGCCCTGTGTTACTGGTCCTTTAATGCATTTAACAGTCAGAGCCTGGAGCCCCTTAATTATTTCACTTTATCAAAACCCTTCTTTTCACTGTGGAAAGCCAACCTGGACACCGTTGCAGTACCAGCTGAAACAGAGGCTAATCAGATATCACCTCTGCAATGTGACTCAATGTTCCTCGTTTACGTAGCTCATTAACACTTGCTGTTTCAGACGTTGGCACCCCAGGAGCTCCCCATCCAGCTTGTTATCCGGCCAGACATGTGAGGGTAGTCACAGCCCAGGGTAGGATTTCCTGACCTTTTACTGTAGCGCTGTATTTATTCCTGGGTAGATGATCTTGGACCTGCTCAAGTCCATATTGTTTCTCCATGCCCTGCTTAAGCCGTGGTCTGGATCACTCAGTGCAATGAATACTCTTCATTGCTCCTGGTGGCCCTTGTCAGATCCTGGTGTCTTTTATCCAGAATGATGTCTTTTTCCACACCGTTAATAAAAAGTGTATATAATGCAAATGAAGCCTGGAACTGGAAACACCACTGCTTGGTGAGGGGACTTCATTTGTGATTACATGCAGAAGTCAATCATGCAGGCAGCTTTTAACTCTGATTTAATCCATGCATTTTAAAAGACATCATGCAACTGAAGAGTAAATCTGGGCTGTTTTTAAAGATATTCCAGTTTTTTATGTGTCTCATAAAATTCCGCCCTGCCTGGATGTAGAAGCCTATATTTAACTGCTGGAATAGTCTGTGGCTTCTCTGCTTATTTGTGTATTAACCACCCCCCCCAACATTACCGCTGTTTTCAGACAACCTGTTGATATTTACTCATTCACCCGCATGTCTGTGGCTGCTGAGGGGACTACAAGGAGCTCCTTTTCCTCCCTGAGACAGCCCAGGCCAGCGGGCTTGCTGGCAGCGTGGCCAAGCCGAGGGATGTCACACCCAAGCTGACTTCTGCTGGCGTTTCTCTGCAAGGATAGCCCAACCGCGAGCATGGGTCGGAGGCTGCGCTTCCAGCTGATGTGGATGCTGGCAGCCCTGCAAAAGAGCTTTGTATCCTCTCTTTCTGGTCTAATCTGCCTTTCATTAAAATAAATGAAAGAGGAATGAAGCCATTGCCACAGCTTGGGTGATGCCCATGTCTTCTCTTTACCCTGCTGTGTTATTATCCTGGTTGGTTCCTCTAGGAGCACAGAGGTTGAGGAAGGCACCTTTTCCCTTGCTGAAGTCAGCTGGACTTCGGAAAGAGTATCTATTCTGAGTGTGGATCCCTGAGAAGAAATACAGTATCCTATCCCTCTCTTAACTACAGGGGGTATGTTTAATATGGTGTGTGTCTTTTCAGATGATAATGTAATCATCCCCCGAAGAAGCTGGGTTAAGTCTTCCCAGCACTAACAAACGTTATTAACTGAATAGGGAACTCTGGAGATGTGAGTCCAAGTCTGCAAAATGGTTTTGAAGTAAACCTTTGTGTTTGCAAGGTGCTGCAGCTGTTGCTGATTTCTGTAGCCAGGGGATACCATGAGGGCTACATCTTGGCTATTGAATATCTTCTCCCATTTCTGGCTCTATCAGCATTTAATAATGGGTGTATAACTGTGTTTCCTTGCGCCATGACCATCAGACTGGGCTTACTGACTTTTCCAAGATCCTGTCTTTTTCCCACACAGTGACAATGCTGATTCCTCTATGTTAGGCACAGCTACAAAGAACGGCATTTGAAGTCTGCTTCATGACTGCAGAAATCAGTTGAAGTCAGGTAGATACCTGGATCTGAGGTTATTGTCCAGACTTGAGACTCCCAGTCAATGGGCAGAAATAAGCGCCTTTCATGCACTTTTTACTCACATTGTAAGGTAACAGCTTAAGGCAACTTCAAAGATTCACAGCCCAGAAACACCTCTTTCTCTTTGCTGACTCAGCTGGAGGATCCACAGTAGGTGTGTGAACTTGTGAGATGAAGTCCCTTGGGAAAGTCTTCAAGAGATGAAGTAGGCCAGTCTGCCCTAGAGGCAAAGGAAGGCAGAGCCTTCAGAGAAAGATGAGCTAAATAGGTTAGAGGAGGGCATTTTGATTATGAATGTAAATGCAGTGGTATGTTGGAAACAAACTTCCTCCACTGGCCACTCTTCATCCCTACATACAGGAGAGCTGCATTGTACCTGTAGCAGCGCAGAGATGGACTTTACTTTCCAGAACATTTATAGGCATTTTCATTTAATTACTTCGTAATATTGCACTGCTTGTATCAAACAATAGCTCTTCTGTATTTAGGATTTCCTGGTGGTTAACAGCAAATGGACTTTATCATTAACTGTCCTTTCAGGGTTTCTTATTCCTACATACAGCTACAGATTCCCCCCAGAATTCCTCTGTGTTGGTCATTCTTGCTCCCAGGCATTCCAGTATAAGAGGTGTATTAAGACCGTGCTTAAATCCAGGGGCTTGGGTGACCTTACTAAATTCTGAGGGATTTTGCATGAAAGTGAAGTCCATGGTGAAATATTTTGCTGAAGACACTGTATTGCAAGCTATATATGGCAAGCTATTATATATATCGCAAGCTATACATCACTTAAAAGACAGAGTGAGGTCTGGTGACCCTAGCATGGTAGCCCTTGAAAGGCTCACTGCTTCCTGGTGCTCCCTATTCCTTAGGTTTTTTTCTTTTTTTCTTCTTTGCTTTGCATTGCATTGCATTGCAGAAGTATATAGGAGCCCTACTTCTACAGTAATGTCAACAAAAAAATATGTTTCATTAGAAATATAGCTGAAGTGTTGCAGAAATATCCAAAACTCATAACGTTCCACAGTTCTGTGGTCTTAAGAAGGATGGTTTTTGATGAAAACGTGTTTGGCTGGAAGATTTTAACCTGCTCTAATGCAGAGTAAGATCAACATCTAAAGTACAGTAGAAGCATTTTGAGAATGTCATTCTTTACTAAGTCTGAAGGAGCTCAGGATAATCCTGATTGCTTCGTTTCTTTGGAGCTTTACGTGAAAGGTTGGATGTGAACTAAGCTGAGGTTATAACACTCCTTGTTTCTACAAATGTTGATTTGTTAGTATGAATTGCTGTGTTGATTTTATTGCATATACGCATGAAGATTCTGTAGTAGGCTTAGTCAGAATTACATTGGGACAGATTAAACAAGTAAAAGGAAAGTCAGAAATGTGTTCATTGTGTTTGAAGAGAGGTACTTCAAGAGATGTAATGTCGATTTTGACGGTTTCGTTTCCAAGCTGGAAAACACTTTGGAGAATCTCTCCTATGGCCCTGGCTATTGAGACTCTGGTGCCTGGCTGCTGCTATGGGGCATAAGTCTTTAGTAGCTCAATAAGTGGTTTGCAGTTCAAGAAAATGGAGATCGCAGAGATCTTTCCTTCCTCTGTAGTGTAAAGCTAGACAGACTGAAGTGCATGTGAAAAGGCTAAATTGATGGGAGGTTCAGATTTCCCAAAAGTACAGTGTCAGGAATTCCTGCAGGCATTTGAAGAGTGTATCTACCACCAGAGATTGCTCTACTTCATAATGAAAAAGAAGAATTGATATATCTCCACTGATTGAGATTCTGAGATCAATTTAATTTTATTGCTCTAAGCTATTGACAGGAAGAAGTGAGAAAATCTGTACTTGTAGCAAATCTATGTCTTTGTAGTGGTATAACTGTGTCCAGACAGCTGGGATTTTACTTGCATAAAATCAACTGTGGCCTTTATTTTGTTAAAGACAAAAACCCTCACCCTTAGCTGAATTAATTGCCATGGTAAAACATGCAAGCACAGAATGGCTGTCAGCAGCACTGAGGAGGTGCCTCGTGCTTGGCTGTGTTTGCACGTGCTTGTGGAGTACCTTTTGCATCACGAGTGACATTCTTTTCATCACTTATTATGTTCTTTATTGTTCAGATTTTTGAGAAAAAAAAAAATCCAATCCTGCAGTGGGTACAGGGTCCCTTGCTGGGTTTTATACGCTGGGGCATCAGAAGGAAAGGGGCACTGTGGGCATGGTGTGAGAACTCTGCCTGTGGTGGGCTGTCCTTGCAGTTTGCACAGCAGCTTGGCATAGGGCTCTCTGGGTTCGCAGGCTTGCATGGCCTCGGATCACCAGGCACTGCTAGGAGACATGGTTTTGGTTTAAGGAACATAAAATGAGCCCTCGGGTCAGTGTGACCCCCCCAGGGCATCCTGCTGCCGGGTCCCAGCAGCAGTCAGAAGTGGTGAGGCTGGAGAGGCGGTAAACTCCAAAGGCAGGTGGACAGGGAGCAGCATCCTAACCCAGTGCTAGTGTCCAAGAGCTCTGGGGCCACCTCGGGCCCACTGCTTTGAGGGGATTTCAGGGGAAGTCATGACATGCTTCCTTTTGCAGCCCCAGGGTTGGCTGAGCACCATCCAAAGGCCACGGTGCAGCTGCACCAGCCAGAGAGTCAACCTTGCGGGCGGGAGTGCACGCTCCTTCCCTTTCTGGCCATACAGCTGATGACAAATGCAAGAGAGGAAGGCAGCCTAACATCCTGAGATAAAATTCTATGAATTAAAATTATGTGCTCCCTGTTGCGATGCTCCCTGTCCCGCTAGGGTGATGTTGAGCATCACAGCAAATCACTGCAGTCAGTGCGGAGGAAAGAGCTGTGGTAGCATCCTCTCCTCTGGCAGAGTGGGGTGGATTTTGGCTCCAGCTAGTGTGGCATTCAGTGAGGGGTGCTTTTGTGTAGCTGCTGCGGTTTCCTTTTTCTCCATGCTGTCACGATTCTGATGTGGTGTGCACTGTGCAGGCACAGGCATCGATGAGTGGGTCCAGCATGAGCAGAACCTTCACCAGCCATGACAGATAAAACTTTGCGATGTTCCTCCTGGGAGCTATGTCAAAACATATGGAAGACAGAGGTGATTAGAGGCAAGCAACGTGGCTTCACCAGGGGCAAATCATGCCTGACTAATCTAGTGGCCTTCTAGGATGGAGTGGCTGCATCAGTGGAAAAGGCAAAAGCTATACAACTCATCTACCTGGACTTCTATAAGGCCTTTGATACTGTCCTCCACAACATCCTTGCCTCTAAACTGGAAAAATATGGGTCTGATAGATGGACTGTTAGATGGATAAGGATGGATGACCTGGATGCCCACGTACAAAGAGTTACAGTCAATAACTTAGTGTCCAAGTGGAAACCAGTAATGAGTGGTGTCCCTCAGGGGTTCAATACTGGGACCAATACTGTTTAATATCTTCACCAATGGCATAGGCAGTGGAATCAAGTGCACCCTCAGCAAGTTTGCAGATGACACCAAGCTGAGTGGTGCGGTTGACACGCCTGAGGGACGGGATGCCATCCAGACGGACCTGGACAAGCTCGAGGAGTGGGCCCTCATGAGGTTCAACAAGGCCAAGTGCAGGGTCCTGCACCTGGGTCGGGGCAAACCCCAGTATCAGTACAGGCTGGGGGATGAAGGGATGGAGAGCAGCCCTGCTGAGAAGGACTTGAGGGTACTGGTGGATGAAAAGCTGGACATGAGCCGGCAATGTGTGCTCTCAG